TAAAACAAAGAAGGTCTCCATTCCTACCCAGTTTGCAATAGGTGTGTTTTCTGAGTTCAAACTACAGCTTCAGCAGCATGTTTTAGAACATGATGTAAGTGCCAAGGAAATTTCCATTTAACTGTGCAGTTGAGGCACTTTTTATTTAACCTTTAATTGGAATGATTAATCTGCAAATAATGATATGCTAAAAGGTAAATACTAGGAGAAGAGTAAATCCTTTAAATGCCTTCCAAACAATGATTATGCTGAATTGAAATCATATACTTGTGATTTACTATCAGTATAAAGTAGCACCTAATTAGTACTTTTGAAAAAGGACATTTTCAAACATGAAATTTATTGTATTCAAGGTAAACATTAGAATGTGTGAACATTTGTGATTGATTCTCATGATAGGGAACACTAACTTTGAATCCCAACTAAGTGAAATATTGTCCCCAGAAAGAGTTTCAGTCTTCTTCTTAGTCAATCTGTCTTACAGAAAGTTGTACTCTGTTATTGTTTCTATAATATTTTGAATTGCATCGATAAGAATTATGGTATTTTTTGTCTCATTATATAAGTAGTTATATAATATCCTTCATTTTGTTTGTTAGCTCTCAAAACCTAAAGTGTTTGCTTGTCAGGTCTTTTACAGGAAAGGTTTGCCAACCCCTCCTTTGTATCAGGATATTTTTATCTTTCATAAGTTTGTGTCTGTACTTGTGAGCAGGATTAACACTTTTGTTTCACAATGACTTTAAAGAGAAATAATTTGTAGAGCATCTTTGTTTCTACTGGATTTGTTAATTACATATTACTCATTATAGTAAGACCATATGGTTTTGTGTTAATATTCTAAATTTGAAGATGAGACTTTCCATGGTTGTCCTGTATTCTGTGGATAGATCCACTGGACATTGAAATTAAAAGTAGTTGTATTAGTCCATTCTCATGCTGCTATGAAGAAATACCTGAGACTGGGTAATTTATAAAGAAAGAGGTTTAAGTGACTCACGGTTCTACATGGTTGGGGAGGCCTCAGGAAACTTAAAATCATGGCAGAAGGCACCTCTTCACAGGGCTGCAGGAGAGAGAATGAATGCCAGCAGGGGAAATGCCGGATTCTTATAAACCCATCAGATCTCATGAGACTCACATTATCATGAGAACAGCATGGGGGAAACTGCCCCCGTGATCCAGTCCCTCCACCTGCTCCTGCCCTTGACATGTGATTATTACAGTTCAAAGTGAGATTTGGTTGGGGACACAGAGCCAAACCATATCATTCTGCCTGTGACCCTTCCCAAATCTTATGTCCTCACATTTCAAAGCACAATTAAGCCTTTCGTACCGTCCCCCAAAGTCTTAACTCATTCCAGACTCAAAAGTCCAAGTCCAAAGTCTCATTTGAGACAAGGCAAGTTTCTCCCACCTATGAGCCTCTATCAAAAACAAGTTAGTTACTTTTTAGATATATTGGGAGTACAAGCGTTGAGTAAATACGCTTGTTCTAAATGGGAGAAATTGGCTAAAACAAAGGGATATAGGCCCCATGCAATTCTGAAATCCAGCAGGGCAGTCATTAAACCTTAAACTTCCAAAATTACCTCCTTTGACTCCATATCTGACATCCAGGTCACACTGATGTCAGAGGTAGGTTCCCATGGCCTCAGGCAGCTCCACCCCTGTGGCTTTGCAGGGTACATCCCCACCTCCTGGCTGCTTTCACAGCTGGCCTCGAGTGTCTGTGGCTTTTCCAGATGCATAGTGCAAGCTGTTAGTGGATCTACCATTCTGGGATCTGGAGGGTGGTGGCCCTCTTCTTACAACTCCACTAGGCAGTGCCCTAGTGGGGACTCAGTGGGAGCTCCAGCCACACATTTCACTTCCGCACTTCCCTAGCAGTGGTTCTCCATGAGGGCCCTGCCCCTGCAGCAGACTTCTGCCTGGACATTCAGGCATTTCCATACATCCTCTGAAATCTAGAGGGAGGTTCCCAAACCTCAGTTCTCATCTTCTGTGCACCCACAGGCCCAACACCATGTGGAAGCTGCCAAAACTTGGGGCTTGTACCCACTGAAGCCATGGCCTGAGTTGTACCTTGGCCCCTTTTAGCCACGGCTGGAGTGGCTGGGTGCAGAGCACCAAGTCCCACGACTGCACACAACAGGGGGGCCCTAGACCCAGCCTAGGAAACCCATTTTTCCCTCCTAGGCCTCTGGGCTTGTGATGGGAGGGGCTGCCAACATCTCTGATGTGCCCTGGAGGCATTTCCCCATTGTCTTGGTGATTAGCTTTTGATTCCTTGTTACTTACTCGAATTTCTGCAGCTGGCAGAAATGGGTTTTTCTTTTCTGTTGCATTGTCAGGCTACGCATTTTCTAAACCTCTATTCACTGCTTCCCTTTTAAACATAAATTCCAATTCCAGGCCTAATCTTTGTGAATGGGTAAAACTGAATGCTTTTAAGAGCAACTCCCCCCTCCCAAATCACCTCTTGAACACTTTGCTGCTTAGAAATTTCTTCCGCCAGATACCATAAATCACCTCTCTCAAGTTCAAAGTTCCACAGATCTCTAGGGCAGGAACAAAATGCTGCCAGTCTCCTTGCCAAAGCATAGCAAGGGTCCCATTTATCCCAGTTCCCAACAAGTTCATCTTCATCTGCAACCACTTCAGCTTGAACTTCATTGTCCATATCACTATCACCATTTTGGTCAAAACCATTCAAGAAGTCTCTAGGAAGTTCCAAACTTTCCCACATTTTTCTGTGTTCTGAGCCCTCCAAACTGTTCCAACCTCTGCCTGTTGCCCAGTTCCAAAGTCACTTCCACATTTTCAGGTATCCTTGTAGCAGCACCTCACTCCTGGTACTAGTCTACTGTATTAGTCCTTTCGCACACTGCTATGAAGAAAAACCTCAGACTGGGTAATTTGTAAAGAAAAGAGGTTTAATTGACTCACAGTTTTGCATGGCTGGGGAGGCCTCAGAAAACTTACAATCATGGTGGAAGGCACCTCTTCACGGGGGCAGGAGAGAGAATGCATGCCAGCAGGGGGAATACCAGACGCTTATAAAACCGTCAGATCCCGGCTGGGCGCGGTGGCTCACGCCTGTAATCCCAGCACTTTGGGAGGCTGAGGAGGGTGGATCACAAGGTGAGGAGATTGAGACCATCCTGGCTAACACGGTGAAACCCCGTCTCTACTAAAAATACAAAAAAATTAGCCGGGCATGGTGGTGGGTGCCTGTAGTCCCAGCTACTTGGGAGGCTGAGGCAGGAGAATGGCATGAACCCAGGAGGCAGAGCTTGCAGTGAGCCAAGATAGCGCCGCTGCACTCCAGCCTGGGTGACAGAGTGAGACTCCATCTAAAAAAAAACAGAAAACAAAAAACCATCAGATCTCTCATGAGACTTACTCATTATCACAAGAACAGCATGGAGGAAACTGCCCCCTTGATCCATTTACCACCACCTGGTCCCGCCCTTGACACGTGGGGATTATTACAATTTAAGTGAGATTTAGGTGAGGACAGAGCCAAACCGTATTAGTAGTGTACTATTTGCTGCAGTGTGATTCTCAAGTAATGTAACTCTGCCTTCATGGAACCTATAAGGGGAAAATAACATGCCAAACACATAAACATTTGTTTTCAAAAATGTTTTGGAGTCAGTTGAAATGCCTAGAACTAGTGATGGTTAATTTTCAGGAAGAATTTTTGAATTCCTGAAGAACAGATAAGAGATTGAGAGTCAGAGTGGAAGAGTCAGGCTCCCCAAGCCAAAGTTTAATTCCCTGAATAAGTCATAGAGTAGTATTTCGATTTTCTTCTTTATGTGTATTCATTGGTTTACTGTTCCTGGAAATCAGAAGGCAATTTTGACTCTTTCTCAGGATATCATTCTCCTGTATCTCTGGACTTCTATTCTTTTTAGTCTTGGGAGGAAAGTATCTTTGCATAGAAGCCTTGGATGATTCTAGGAGACTTTTGGAAAGCCTGGAAGAAAAGCCAGAATTACTGGACTGGAGAGCTTTAGTGGAAGCCAGAAATTTAGAGGGTATTCTGACTAACATCTTATAGAAAGGAAAATAACGATAGTTATTTGCATGGCCAAAGAGCTATAGAGAATCATGGGGTCTTAGAAGATTACAAATTGGGGTTCAAAGAGTTTAATTTATAGGTGTTTGCTTAGATTTAAATTTGAGGCAATTACATGAGTATAAATGGTACACGGACAACTATAGACTGTCTTTAAAATCTATTCTTTAAGTATAACTTTTTATTCTTGGCCAAGAAGTTTTAGTGAGAACTAGTTCTTATAGTTTCAACTGACTTCAGTAGAAAATATATTCATATATTTATGTGATAATCATATTTTTTATGTTGTCAAGAATAAATTGAATAAAACAAGTTCATCTATTATTACAGCCTATGGTAATTATAAAGGAATAAGGAAAACTAGTGTCCAATTTTATGTATCTGTAAGTAAATCAGTAGTTCAGAGCTGTGTAACCTCTCTCCCTATTATTTCCATGGGTGTTCTTTTGTAATCTCCTTTATACTTCCAAATGTGAAAACTTTGTTTAGTATTATAAGATGCGTACAGATAACCTATAAGAATGGTAACTGTTTTGACTTTCAAAGTAGTTCTAGGCTGGGCACAGTGGCTCACGCCTGTAATCCCAGCACTTTGGGAGACCGAGGTGGGTGGATCACCTGAGGTCAGGAGTTTGAGACCAGCCTGGCCAACATGGTGAAACCCATCTCTACTAAAAATACAAAAATTAGCTGGGCGTGGTGGTGCACCCCTGTAGTCGCAGCTGCTCAGGAATCGCTTGAGCCTGGGAGGTGGAGGTTTCAGTGAGTCAAGATCACGCCGCTGCACTCCAGTCTGGGCAACAAAGTGAGACTCTAACTCAAAAAAAAGTAGTTTTAAACATATTTTAAAGAACAATAAATGTTTTAAAGTCAGTGCTGAAAACTTTAAAAAGTCATTATATTTTATGTTTAGGTCTCTGAAAGAAGATGAATTTGGCTGAGATTTGTGATAATGCAAAGAAAGGAAGAGAATATGCCCTTCTTGGAAATTACGATTCATCAATGGTATATTACCAGGGGGTGATACAGCAAATTCAGAGACATTGCCAGTCAGTCAGAGATCCAGCTATCAAAGGCAAATGGCAACAGGTAAGATGATATTAAAGTATTAGATGTGTTGGGACAGCAGTACCCTATTTTACTTGAGAGATTAGAGTCGGAAAATGAGTTTGAGATGGAAATAGTTCCTATTTATCTGAATACTGAACTATGTTTAAAATGTGCTCTTGTATATTTTAGTATCTTACCTAGTTAATGTTTTGTTTTTTGATCATATATTTCATGAGGTATGTTTTGAAGATATTTAATTCCAATTGAATCTACTTTTACTTTTTTCTGTTTTCATGATCAGTTACCTAATTGTGTGACTACAAACTTTTGAAATAAAGTATTTCATTCATTCATTCTTTTTTTTTTTTTTGAGACAGAGTCTTGTTCTGTTGCCCAGGCTGGAGTGCAGTGGCACGATCTTGGCTCACTGCAACCTCTGCCTCCCAGGTTCAAGCAGTTCTCCTGCCTCAGCCTCCCAAGTTGCTGGGACTGCAGGCATGCACCACCATGACCAGTTAATTTTTGTACTTTTAGTAGAAACGGAGTTTCACCATGTTGGCCAGGGTGGTCTTGAATTCCTGACCTAGTGATCCACTCACCTCAGCCTCCCAAAGTGCTGGGATTACAGGCGTGAGTCACCGCACCCGACCCATTCTTTTTTTTTTTTTTTTTTTTTTTTTTAAGGGTTTTGCTCTGTCACCCAGGCTGGAGTGCAGTGGTGCCATCACAGCTCACTGCAGCCTCAAACTGCTGGGCTCAAGCGATCCTCCCACCTCAGCTTCCCAAGTAGCTAGGGGGACAGGTTCACACCACATGTCCAGCTAATTTTTAGATTTTTTGTAAGGACTGAGTATTGCTATGTTGCCCAGGGTGGACTCAAACCCCTGGCCTCAAGTGATCCTCCTGCCTTGGCCCCTCAAAGCACAGGTATTACATATGTGAGCCACTGTGCTGGACCTGAAATAAAGTATTCATACTTGCCCTTTTCCCTTTCATATTTACATGTTGTTTTGACCCATTTTGCAAAACTCTTTTGAAAGACTCCTTAAAAATACAAATGAGTCAGTAATCTAATAAAAAACATTACTATATTTGTTGTTGTCTTTTGACTATATAATTTGATTAATAAGACAGTTAATAAAAACTTGAATTTTAATTTACCCACTTACTGTTTTTTAAATTTAATGTTTTAATCAGTATCTTTTAGCATAGTTCTTGCTTTGCTGCTCCAATTTCAAATTAATTGTAACTTTTAAAAACGATTTTTTTTTTTTTTACAAATCATACTTATAAGCAATAAATCTTTAAGGAAATAAATAGAAGCATCTTCAGTGATGTTTAAACAAAATTGGCTTTTGTTTTGTAAGGGTTTATTATTTAAGCTTGTGTTTTCACCTGTTATACTGAAACAACATAACATCCTTTTTAGAAAATGTTAAGTGAAAAAATACGGAACACTTCAGGAGTTCGTGTGCATCCCGTGCAGGGGACATACTGCTCTTGTCTGTGTTACTCCAGTGTTAGTATATGTGCTGCCAATGCAGACCACTCCCCACTTGGTGTTAAAATTTAAAATCTTTTAAAAATTACAAGTACTAAGTCAAGTATTTCTTTGAAGTTTCCATTTTATGTACTAATGCCTTTCAAGTGTTTCTTCTAGTTTTTCCATCAGTCAGAAATTGATGTTTTCCTAAGTTTTGAGGGTAAATTTGACTTATTTTCCAACTTAAATGTTACCAAATTATATTGATTGAGAACAATATACTTGCTCCAACTCAGGCTCAAATTTTTAGTTGTTTTCTTCTATCCTTCCTGTTAGCTACAGGCAGGGTATTTTATTAATCTATCATGGAAGTATTTTTGACATGTTCTGAATTGTGTATGTTAAATAGTGACCATTTCTACTATGTTTCTTTCCACTGGGTTCTGAAATTACATTTCTTCCAGTGTAGCATATCGTGTAATTGCATGTATTAGCAGTTGAATTTTACCTAGCTTTTTCTTTGGATCTGTAACTCCTTCATATGTTCCTTTTAATATATTATTCAATATAAAGATGAGGGAAAATTTTTTTACTCTGCTTTACAGTATGACTTGCTTTCTGGTTAAAGAAGAAACAATTGTTAAAATGATTTATAATTGTAATTTTCTTTTCTTTCTTTTTTTTTTGACATGGAGTCTTGCTCTGTTGCCCAGACTGGAGTGCAGTAGTGTGATTGTAGCCTCGGACTCTTGGGCTGAAATGATCCTTCTGCCTCAGCCTCCTGAGTAGCTAGGACTGTAGACTCGCGCTGTCATGCCTGGGCTAATTTTTTTGTTTCCCTAGGCTGGTCTTGAATGTAATTTTTAATCTTTATCTGTTTACTTTTGAAAATGAGTTTGTGCTCAAAGTTTGAAAACACAAGAATTTCCTCATAGTATGTGTTCAGTTAAATTTTTTAAATACAGGAAAAACCTTGTCTTTGAAATAAAAATAAACTTTACTCAGAACTCAAAATAATTTAAATAAGGCAAAAGTAATTCAGATTTCAGTTGAAGGAGAATTTAAATAAAAACTGGAAGTTTGTAATTCATAGTATAATACCACTTCTAGCTTTGAGACACTCATGACAGGCGTTTCATATTTAGTGATATTGGGAATAGGAATTGTGTTGAAAATTTTGGCTTACCGTTTTTTGGAATCTATTTACAAATATATTAAAAGTATTTAGCACAATATTTTACATTTCTTGGAATGTTTAACTTGTTACCTACTTAGTTGATTGTTTTAAATTGTATTAATGATCTTCACGTTCTTTGGTAGAAATGGAATTCCATTATGAAAGGGAGATAACTACTTATTAAAAGGTATAGAATTATGGTTTTTTCAAACTAATTTCTGCCCTTTTCTCAGTATTACTTGAAATAGTTCTTTGTGTTTATGAATGTTTTAATGATTCATTTTTCATACTTTGACATTAAGAAAACATGCACTCTATAGCAATTTATTTAAAATTTATGAAGTCTTTAAACAGCTTCTAGCATAAAGCCTTTTTTTTTTTAAGGTTCGGCAGGAATTATTGGAAGAATATGAACAAGTGAAAAGTATTGTCAGCACTTTAGAAAGTTTTAAAATCGACAAGCCTCCAGATTTCCCTGTGTCCTGTCAAGATGAACCATTTAGAGATCCTGCTGTTTGGCCACCCCCTGTTCCTGCAGAACACAGGTAAATAGAACTTTATATTCTCTTTAGGTTCTTCTAGTTAATTGATGTTCACAGTGAAGCATGCTTTGAACAAAGTATGAAAAATCATTTTTGGGGACATGTAAATTCAGTATCTGTTTTTAATATTCACATTTATAGGTTTACAGTTATGTATTTGATAAAGTACAGAAGTAAATGTCTTGTTACATATCTTGCTTTTAGAAATGCTTTATTTCGCTAATAACAATAGATGCCTATTGCTAGTCCTAAAATTTATCAGTTAAGAGAGGTCTTTTAGGTTTCATAATGGCAGCATCAAAACTTGGATAGTTTTGCTTTTTTGCTTGAAGAGATTCTAACAACTTCAGACGAAGTGGTGGAGAAATTGAATGTTCCTGGTTGGGCCTACAGTCAATTTCCAGAGTTTTAGTGTAGAAGGAACCTTACTGATAATGTTTAAGTGGCTTAGTGCTTAAAGTCAGATTCCTCGGTGTGGCGTCTCCCACCAGTTTTCTCTAATACCCAGCCTGTGCATCATTTACGTTAAACCTCTCTGTTTTTGCCCTTTTTTGTCATCTTGTCTGTGTAGTCTCTTCTTTCTGCAAGGATTACCCATAATCCCCATCTCTAAACAACTCATATTCATTCAAGTCTCAACTCAACTGACTATCCCCTCTGCAGCCTCTTTTGATTTGCCCAGACATAGCAGTTTGTTCGTAGTGGTTATCATGTTGCATTTATTTGTCACTTCACAAGATTTGCAAGGACAAGGACCATGGTTTTATTTAAAACAAAAATTAAATAATAAACTTTCATTGCTAACGCAGGGTTTGGCACGTAGTAGACATTCAACCAACATTGAATGAGTTAACTCCATTCGTTTCACAAGTGAGGAAACTGAAACCTGAGAGACCCTAATCATGCTAGATCAGGATGTGAGTTGAGGTCTTTCTGGCTTTCTGTCTGCTTTATTGTGAGGTGGTATTGTGGCCAGAGTGTTGCACCATAGAAAATATGTTTTCCTTTGGCCAGTCTCTATAGTAATCTGTTGAAATTTTCTAAAAACATTTTAAGAGCTATGAAAAATGGTTAATTTATTCCTTTGGATTTTTTCCACTGAATTACAGATAATTTTGTGATTTTCATTGTGAAAGCAGTAGATGAAGATTCTTTTTTAAGCTCTGCAACAATGTAGTTTTCCTCTGATGTAACCACCTTCAGGTGTTTTATACTAAGGTAACCCATATCCCTCGAAAGGCAGTGTTTTAAGAGTCATATCATTGTTACCATGGAAGTTCCAAAATACTGAACGAATGACATTTTAACCTACTATAACTTGAAATTTTCCTGTATGTATGTATAATGAAATACCTTGTTTTTTTACTGAAAGTCATTAATTCTGAAATATACTTCTAGTTTAAAGCTAAAAGCTGGCAATAACTTTAAATATAGGAATATATGCTCTGAATTGCTCGAGTACCATGATTCATTTCAAGCAGCAGTGTCTGCAGATAATAACTAATATTGATGGCTCAAACTGAATAAAAAGTTGTGGATGACATTTTCCCGTTGATGAATACTGATCTCAAAATGTATCACTAGAATGACACTAGTCCAGTTACTTTCTTTTCTTTGTCCTTTCTTAACTGTTCGTAACACAAATCTGACTTATTTTTGTGCTTGTTTTTAAATCCTTTTTCTAAATGAAAGTGAAAGATGAATGGACCAGAATGTATTTCTCTGATTCTCCTTTCTTTGTACTAAATTTTTTTAAAAAGTTTTCTCTGTGCATAGCCATTGTATGTGGGTTTTTTGTTTTTTTGTTTTTTTTCCTCTGTGGATCAGAAACCCTGAATAAAAGCAAATCGCAGATTGTATATTGTCTGGGGAAAAAATAGATTTTCATTCCCATGTGTATCAACAACAATAAGAAAACACTTTACAACTCCACAAGGTTCTACTAGAGAAGGAAATATAAGACATTGAGTAATAGCATGGGATTAATAGTTTAAAACTTTATGAATAAAATTTTTATGTAAGCAAAAACAGTGGGTCCTTCATCAATTAACAATGTAAGGTGAACATTAATGAACTAAATCTTATGCTGGTTTGTGGCACAGAATGTATGCAAGGGCTGATAAAATAAATATTCAGATTGCAAATTTAGATTTAAAGGTTATGGAGGATTAGAGTTGTATGATATTTTTCTTGTTTTACAAACTTTGTTTCTTTTCCAGGTCATGTAAAACAAATATAATAAGATTTTCACTTAGTGATAGTGAATGGTAGATAGTCATTGGATATTCTTGGTTTAATGGAAAGACATTTGACTTCAGTTGATGAGATTGTGGATTCTGCTTCTGAAACCTACTTGCTTTATGACTTTGAGCAAGCCATTTACCCTCCCTAAACGTTAGTCTCACTATCTGTAAAATGAAGATCTCTACCTCATGGAATTGAAAAAAAAAATTAAGACAGCAACTGGCCTGTAATAAGTAATTAAAGTTAATGGTCATCTCTGAAATAAAGGACTACAAATTCTTTCAGAGAAATAGCAAGAATAACAATTAAAAGTGATAGCCTCATTCATAAAACAAGTCCTTTTATTTTCTCCCTGCAGATTCTACCTAATTCCTTAGTTTCCTGAAACATTTCAAGAGCTCTGACAGAGAGGGTATGACTTTTTAAATGTCCAAGTCTTAAGCAGTTGGTGATTATTTCCAGGGGAAGGATGATAGCTAATAATTATTAGTCACTTACTGTATATGTTATATACATTATTTTATTTAAAACCCAAGTGATCCCATGAAGTTTAGGTACTGTTACTGTGTATCCATATTATCATCACTAATTTATTATTATGAACCCCATTTACAGTTGAGGAAACTGAAGCTTATAGCTTGTAATTTTTCCAAAGTCATCTGAACAAGGAAGTAGCAGAGCCAGGATTTGAACCCAAGTCTCTTCATCTTCAGGAGTCTTATTTGTATGCACTCTGCTATATTACTTTTGCATATATACTCAGTGGGTATATTCTGAGTATATTTTGATACACATCTGTATATCCTGGTATTATCTACTTGTTAACATTCTTACTAGTAGTGGTGGAAGAATAAACAAACCGAAAATGCTTAATGAAATTTTGATATTTCAAGGATAACTAAAAAGAACTTTCCAAGCGAGCACCACACTGAAATTACAATTTAAGTCAATAGGAAAATATGATATTTTCTTGTTTTGTTTTTTCTTTTCTTTTTTTTTTTTTTTTTGCCATCTATCATCTTGTAATTTACCTTGTTTTATACAAAGCATTTCAGAGATGCTTCCGGTGTGATTGGCATTAGCCACTAATTTGGTAGCCCTGTTTATGGTTCTGTTCTTTTCACTTCATTGACATTTGACAGACACTTCTCCATCCCTGTTGCTGCGTACCAAGGTAATCTGTGTATTGTGATTTTCCATCAGTGGTGTTGCCACGTTGTTTGAAGTTCTATTTCTGTGTCATGGGTCTGCTGAATTTGATCATAATTAAGGTTTAAATCACCAGCAGTTGCTTGGATAAATCAAAATAATATTTTAAAATTTTGATTCATTGCCTTAAATGTGAGTAAACTGAGCTACAAAAGTAGGATCATGATGGTAGGTAGTGGCAATTTTAGAATTAAACTCCAAAGAGATGAAGTCTCTAGCTCATTCTTAGTGTCCTAAGTTAAAATATTTCTTGTATTAATGAAATGATTTTATAATAGTTTACATGTAGGCTTATTAACTACATTTTCTTTAATGAATTGGTTTCTTCCAGTGATACCTGAAACCGTGAAAGTAGTATTTTCTATATTGCAGCAGTATTCAACATGGTATATATTCAATAAACTATTCTTCATTTAGCTTAAAAAATAAGTATGGTAGGTCCTTTTTCCCCCCAACTTTATTGAGGTATAAATAACAATTAAAAATTGTACATATTTAAGGTATACAGGTTGATTATTTGATATATATATGTGTTTTGAAGTACTTATCACAGTAAGCTAATTAGCATATCAGTTACCTCACATTTATTTTGTTTTTCGTTTTCATTTTATGGTGAGAACACTTAAGATCTACCCTCTTAGCAGATTCAAGTATACAGTATTGTTAACTGTAGTCACCTTGCTGTACATAAGATATCCAGAACTTACTGTGCATGACTGAAACTTTGTACTCTTTGACCAATATCACCTCATTTTCTTCTCCCTTATCCCCTGGTAGTAACCACTCTACTCTCTTTCTAGGAGTTTGACTCTTTTTATATTCCACATATAAGTGAGTAACATGGTTTGGATGCTTGTCCCATTCAAATCCCTTGTTGAAATGTGACCTCCATGGTTGGAGATGGGGTCTGGTGGGAGGTACAGGATCATGGGGACAGATTCCTCATGAACGGCTTAGTACCATTTCCTTGGTAATGAGTGAGTTCTTGCTCAGTTCACATGAGATCTGATTGTTTACAAGAGTGTAGCACTGCCCCCTGCAACCCTTCTTGCTCACTCTTTCGCCTCGTGATATGCTGGCTTCCCCCTTTGCCTTCTGCCATGATTGTAAGTTTCCTGAGGTCTCACCGTAAGCCAAGCAGATGTTGGTGTCATGCTTGTACAGCCTGCAGAACCATGAGTCAAGTACACCTCTATTTATAAATTACCCATCCTCAAGTATTTCTTTAAAACAATGCAAAACAAAAACAAAAACAAACAGACTAACACAGTCAGATCATGTCGTATTTGTCTTTCTGCATCTGGCCTATTTCACCTGCCACAAGGAAATGGTAGGATTTCCCTCTCTTAAGGTAGAATAATATTTCTCTTTCTTTGTGTGTGTGTGTGTGTGTGTGTGTATGTGTGTGTATGTGTACACACACCCTGCCCCCAACATATATGCACACATTTTCTTCATTCATCTGTCAATGTATTTTTAGTTTGTTTCCATATCTTAGCTATTACCAGTAATGCTGAAATGAACATGAGAGTGCAGAGATCTGACACATT